GCGACGAATAGCGAGCCGTTAACTGTTACTAATGTGTCTGGTACCCCAAACAGCTAAACCGGGTAGACAGCTTGTGGATTGTTTCCAATGTTGTACAATTTAGCATGGTATATACATCCAGCCATTTAGTAAATGCATCCACGATAATGAGAAACAGTTTTTTTTGGATTGCATAAGCAAAATCTGCATGAATTCTTTCTCAGGGTCCTGCAGGCGTAGTCCAGTACTGAGGTTCGTATTTCACAGGATTTTTAGCGGCTTCAATGCATGATAGACAATTACGACATTTATTTTCGATATCTTTGTCCATTGACGGCCAATAGACATAACTACGAGCCAACTATTTCATTTTATTGATTCCAGGATGTTCACTGTGAAACTAACTGAGAACCTTGTGACGTAATAACTTCGGAATAACAAATCGATCACCGAACATAATACACGACTCAACAACCATTAGTGAGTACCGTCGACGAAAATATTGCAAAAGTTCTCCGTCAAGGTGATGGTATGGCCATTTGGTCGACAGATAGCATTTGACTGTGCTCAGTACCTCATCACTTTCAGTGATCTTCTTGATAGTTTCAAAAGTTACTGTGAGTCCATTGATTGCGTCATGCAATACATGATGAACTTCTTCCTCGGCTTTTATTTTTGCTACATGAGTCTCCTCTGCGGTTTTTGATCAGGAGCCTATTATTCTTGACAATGCGTCAGCTTTTCCGAAGGCAGTAGTAGACTGATACTTTATCTTGAAGTCGTACGCCAGAAGTGTGGTTGCCCATCGTCGTAGTCGGTTAGCTGTGTGGACTGAATAACTTTTCTTTGACCCAAAAACTGCAAGTAGTGGTTTATGGTCTGTTATTAGAGTAAAATAACGGTCATTCATCAACTTATGGAACTTATTCACTGCTAAGATAATTGATAGGCTTTTTTTCAATCTGACTATAGTTCCTTTCGGTCGTTAACAAAGATCTGGCAGCGTGTGAGATGGCTTTTTCAGACACATCAGGGAAAATGTGAGAGATAACTGCACCTACACCATGGTTAGAAGCATCTGAAGCGACGACTATTGGTAGAGAAGGATCATAGTGTGTCAATAAGAGATTGGAAGTCAGGAGTTGCTTGATCTTCTCGAAAGATGCTTGGCAGTCTGCAGACCAATTCCATACCATACCATAATGGCTGACCAATCCCAAGAATGATCGTAGGGTAGTAATGTTCCTGTTTCTAGGCATTGCTTGAACTGCTTCAATGTTCTCTGGATCTGGTCGTCTTCCGTCTTTATCGTTTATGAACACAAGGTACCGTACTTGCTGCATATAGAAGTCACACTTTTCCGCTCGGAGGCGTAAACCATAATCGACTATGCGTTCTAGTACCAGGTCCAGCTTCTTCTGCAGGTCCATTTTATCTACTGCCATAATTATGATGTCGCCTAAGTAAGCTGCTGCCCCTGAAATACCTTGTAACATGGTATCCATAAATCGCTGAAAAAGAGAGGGCGTTGTGTTCACCCCAAAAGGTAGTCGGTTATACCGGAACAGACCTTTGTGTGTGTTGATCGTTAAAAGTTTTTTGCTTTCATCAGATACCGGGAATTGTAGATATGCGTCTGATAAGTCCAATATCGCAAAATATCTGCCACGTTCGGCTTATCGAAAAGATATTCTGGTAAGGGCAACGGATACTGATGGTACTCTAGAGCTTCATTTAATCCTGTGGAGTAGTCTGCACATAGATGGACACTTCCATTCGACTTCCTAATCAGCACTATCGGTGCAGCCCAGTTCGAGAAGTTCACAGGCTCGATAACACTCATTTTCTGAAGTCGTTGTAAATCCTGTTCAACTATTGGAAGAGCAGCATAGGGCACAGGTCTTTTAGGTCGAAAAATGGGAGTAGCTGAAGGCTTTAGAGTTAGCACTCCTTTAGCCTTCGTGCATTCGCCTAATCCTTCTTCAAACACGTCTTGGTGTTTTTGTAGCATGGCATTTTTCTGACTCCACTCTGAGGTGTTGTAAGTTGTGATTCGTTTGCAGGTACTTTCAATAGAGTGGTCTGCTAAATTAAGTGTTTCTATAAGATCTAACCCTATTAAATCGAGTGCTGGCTTCTTTGTAAGATATACTGTTGCCATGGTTGTTACCGCATCTTTAGACACAATGCAAGGTATTTCTTCAACAATATTTAACTTTCCATTTGATGCATTGTGTGTTATTCGTGCTGTTCGATGCACCATGGGTCGCCTAATCTTCTTCCAAGTTTCTGGACTTATTAACGTAATATCAGAAGCCGTATCAAGCTGAAGTCAAGAGCGGTGTTTATTAATATTCACAGTTACGTACTTTCTCTGGCGGCAACTTCGTGCTTTGTTTTGTGATTCCAAAATTCTTTTCGTTAATGCCCCAGATCTGTATTTCTTGAAGTGAGGTTTTGCAAAATGTCGTTTATAGTTTCTTTTTCTGCAGCTGATTTCTTTTTGGCTTTTTCGATGACACTTACTGCAACAATGTTCTTTATACGGGTGAAAACTCTACATGCTCAGCATGGAGATTATCGTTTGTCGCCGTTATTACGATATATAGGTGTGCGGGAACCTTGCAAGGATTTTTTTTCTTGACTGCATTGACATTAAGAAAACAGTAACCGTTTTTTACCATTGAGGTATCATGCTTCAAGTTCACTAACCTTTGGCACTCGGTAGTTACTTCCTGTAGGGTCTTAATTGAGCAGTGTTCAAGTTTGCTTAAGATTCTGGTCCGGATATCAGCATCATCAAATGAACGCAGGCTGCAGATAAATACTAAGCATTCAACCTGGTCCTCAGACATGGACGACAATCAAAACCTCTCACATTCACGGTTCACAGTTCCTGCATGTTTCACCTAATTGTCTCTAGGTTCTTTCGTTACCTTTAAGCACTGATAACGGATATTTAATAAAAATGATTGTTCTCCGAAGATTTGGGACAGGATTTTGACTATTTCATCAAAACTAAAATCTCGTGGGTTTTTCGGAAGAATGAAATTGCTGTAGAGTTCATGTTCCACAGTCCCAAGTTAACTCAGAAGTATTCTGACTTTTGATGCGTCATTCAGGTTGCAAAGATCATTATAAAACAAATCTTCAGACTTCTTAAACCACGACTCAAATGTTATACCTGCTACACCATCAAAATTAAGTTCATGTATGGCGGTAATGACTGAATCAGTATGTGATGCATGTGTTTCACTAGAAGCAGGGTTTCCATCAATCAGGCAGAATTTCTGCATCGGGGTTTCCATGATTCTAATTTGGGACTATTCAAACATCTTTTCTTGAGGCACCATATAGGCTTCTAATTGATTCAGAGAAATATTCATTGTCATTGACACAAGTATCAGAGAAGCACATTACTGCAAAGTTCACTTTTGTACAAAAAATCATAGGTATTTATAGAAGTTAGTATATGTTAAATCAACATCCTATTTCAGCCAATCCATTTAACGACATATATTGCTACCGACCAATTGTAGCATGTCACGTTGGACTCTAGAATGTTCTATCGTACTCTGATTGGCTGACGCTCTTTATGAGCCTCTGGAGGCTCTGTTGGAGTTCTGTGGAAGTCAACTCAACACCTCCCTCGAATAATATTTCTTTCAAGGGTCAACTTGTAGTTTGACTACTGGGTTGCGACGTCGTCCCATGCCAGCTCAACAATACTGCTACTATCACAAATGATTATAATAAAAACAATGATGTTTGTTTTGATAATTTGTTGCTTGGATGATTATTCATGATACAATTTTATGTACAATTGGAGAGAGTTCTGTTGTTTATGATTTCGAGAAATTATGCAACAACCTTTCATTGGATTATTGAATGTCATACTTGAGGTAACAATAGTTTGGTTATTGTCAACATCTTTTTATGGTGCACAAATCAACATCATATAAAAGATAATTACTTTGGGCAAGTATAGACAAAACATCAATATTCTTGACTTGTTCAGCAGAATTTATTTTCCATTTACGGAAGTGAAGATTGTTATTCATTCAATAAGAAGTGATTCATTAAGTTTAGTATTGACTAAATATACCTTGGACATTCTCTTATCATATTGATTTAATCGTATGTTTAAATACAGATGATAACCAAAACAAGCTCAATGGATATGTGTAAATCATTCATTGAAATAGTGAAGTGTAAATTAGTATTCTTCTTGTCTATTGACACTTTTATTAACCTTCAGGTTCAATGATCCCTATGGTGATTATAAATCTGTGTGTGAATCGAGAAATTCATTCACTTTCAATGAAATATATTATCTTTATTTTATTTCAATCATTGATCACATAAATCTACACAACTAAACGCATTTCGTTTCACTTGAACTTGATCAATAATAAAATTTCTATCTATTTTGGTCTCAATATCTATTAACGGCTAGTGGTAGAATATGGCGGGTCAACTATAATTCATGTGACATTGTACAGAAAATACAATTTCGCATTCATCGATGATGGGATCGTCTGGCAGAATTAACTTTATTGCAATAAAATTCAATTATGGAAATGTGAATTGAGGTATCCAATCAAAGCTGTTTGTGCTACCTAAATTTTAACTAATCAAATCAAAACACTCACTAATGACACTCAATTCACAGATTATTACAAGTAACAAAATGTTTGTCCATCGAAATATAACAACTCATTTTTAACAACAAATAAACCAGTCACACAGTTTAAAGTATGACTAATCATATTCAGAATAGTTTACATCAATAGGGGTCATGAATTTTAACCAAACGGTGGATAATTGGTAGCCTGTATACCTCAATAAGTAGAAGAGTATTAATTAACGACGAGTACGTCTTCAATGAAGACTGGTTAACAATGATCATATGATTATATGAATTTTGATCGTCTCAATGGTCACTTTGAATCATCCAACCAGAAAGAAAGAAACACACACTTTGAAAATCTACATAAACTGGATACGTTCTAACAACAATTATTAACGTTTTCAAGAAGAAGATGAGGTGAGTATTAACTGTACAGTTAAGGTTAATGAGTGTATTATATGAATGTCATTTTCTTTCAATGAAATAAGGCCGTTTCTTTATCTGAACCACTTTAGATATAAGTTTTCCTGTGATCAGCTGATATTCGTTTATTTGATGGTCAGCTTGGCTTTTAAGATCTTCAATTGTCAACATGCTTGTGACGAAAAGGATTTGAATAGAGCAAGTGAACTAGTATTTGAACGTGAATCACATGAATATGTAAGTTATCAGTCAGGTTCTAATACACATATTCAGTCTCACTATTATTATTATTCCCGATTGATTCGCCTAAATCAGCCCTCTCCTTTTATTAATGCAACGTTTGAGAAATTGGTTACTGATGAAGTGAGTCAACTAAATTTTGCAAAGTAGGTACTAATCCATATGTTTGCATAGCTTCAGAGGATCATTCCAAAATTCTCTTTTAAATTTTACGGCTTTGACGTAAATATACTCTACATTACCAATGATGGTAAGAGAATGATTTTCTTTGAAATAACATATTGACTGAGCTTTGTCTATTCACATTTCATTCCATGAATCCAAGTTGCTTTAATTTCATCGGAAAATCAATTTCATGTCTATTTATAACATTCAAAACTTCTACCGATATCTTATTTGGTTCAATTTGTAAATATTTTGATGTCTTAATGCAAGCGTCTTACGATTTATGCAATTCATTTTAGTCTAGAGTTAATTTCAATGTCTTTCATTCATTCAATGCAGATTATTAATCAAATTGCATGTTTTTATCCGATAAATACAGGTTTAATAGAAATATACGGAGCAACGTTCTCAGGAGTAATTGACCATTATGTATCTGACATTAATTCGTCTGAATGGGAGATTTCGAATGATGGTGAGTTCTACTATTATTCAGTGATATTTCGTTTTGTTGTTTTAATTCTCATTTTTATTTTGCATAAATGATTCGGCATTCAGGTTGATTATCTCATGAGAGCTGACCAGAACATAGTGATTATATTGTTTGTTTGATTTCATGACCTCAAATATGTCCACAACACTTTTTCATTACTGTCAAGTGAAAGCGTTGAATAAAACACCGATTCACTTCAAAGTAGACGCGAATTGATGATTAGAAATGATACGCCGTTTGATGTAATTGCCAAAGTGAAAATTACCCACTCTCCAGTTTGTTTAAGCTGCTATAAAACAGATAACTTATCACTACGACACTTCTTGGTAGATTCAATGAATCAAATTGATCACAGCTACAACGATAGCCGGTGTTGTGCGACAAATCGGTTTGGATTATTGAAGCACATGAACTTTTAAATTATATTTGACGCCTTTCAAATTTTTGGGTGTCACTTGCTTAGCTCTTAAAAGTTTAATGTCTCTTTGTCACTGTTTGTAGACAGTTCAATAATAAACAATTTCTCGATTAACATATTCGTAGGACCATGAAGTTCGAACTCATGCCCTTCTTGAAACATTGAATCAACGAACGAACATGAACAGTGTGCTGGCACATCACCAGTGACTCAAACCAGAACTCCAAAAACATAAAACTGAAGTTCATTCATTTTGTTCAGTTATTGTAATTCGTGACATTGAAGTAGCGTTTCTGAGTAAAAATAAGTTCGATTGAGGGAACACAGTTTCATGGGAGTAACAGAATCTCCAGAAACCATTTTGTATGTATATGTTTTGTTAGACATCAACGTACTCATAGTTAACCAAAAGCTTTTTAAACCAACGATTCAGAAGTAAACTTTCCTTCTCACTTGATTGGATTAAAACATTCATCATATCGCTGAAATAATAATAAAAATCCCTGAAACTTCCATTTAATTGGTTTGGTTCACCTGAAACTTGAAACGAAGATGATAACTCGTGTCCAAACTCACTCTATGTTTTATTGTATGTTTATTGAAAGAAGCGGTTGTTCTTTTAAATGATATGTAAACACAATTCCTTTGTTTTCATTATTTCAGAGAACTTACTGGCTCTCAGAAGGACTTTGCAGTTATCAAGTAATAGTTTTTTTAAGCAAACAGTAATGTGATTGATTCATCACATGTGTGATATTAACACTTACACAATCATTTATTGTAATTAGTCACATTTGCTTCTTTTCAGTTTTGCGTAATTGAATTCTTCTCAAAACCCGACAGAAGTAATAAAACGTGACCATCCTGGAAAATTAGGAAAGCGAAATGTAGAATCCACTGATTGTTTGAACACATTGTTTGAAATTAAAAGAACAGTTGGCATACGCTGCAGCAAACTAGATTTGATGAGTAATAAATAAATGAATATGCATAAATTAAGTCATAATGTCATTTTACTTGCAGAGGTACATTTTCATCAAGAGACTGCAGTGGAACGTGATCAGAAGTCTGTATTTCAAAGAAAGTAAACTTGTGTTACTCACCACATGGTCATACTTAAATGTTATTCATTCGCATTATGAAATCAATAGAAGGAATAATTTTCATGTATTCCATTTTTAGTCTTTAACAAACACTGATATTCCCATTTGTTGACTAAACAATTAAATTACCAAGTTTATTTTGTAAAGAAAATCTTCACAGCTCATGTCATGTGTACTAAGAGTTGATTGTTTGAACGGTAGTGGTAGAGAATATTACTTCAATATGAATACATCTTCAACTGTCAGATCTAACTATAAGCCCAGTGATGTATTGTTTCAATATGAAAGCAAGAGTGTTATACAGCCTTAGAATCTAAGCATTTGATATTCATTTTGAAGGATGTATGCTTGTTTCATTTACACGACATTCACCAGATTATATTGATTACGAATTCGACTTAAGAAAACACTTGAGATAATACTGAAAACATTTGCCTAGATGCGATCACTCTGTGAGTAAGCACAATCATTGTCACATCTAACAATAACTTGAACATCATGAATCTCTCAAATTCTAAATTTCGATAATCTTTAATTAACAGATGGCACATTCAAGGTAACTACTCTGATACATTCGAATGGAAAGATATCTTTCTATTATGATAACGTAAGTTGCAAAATTCAATAGGAATATAGTTTTATTTGAAGTACTTCAGATTATTATATCTTGTGAATATCAATATTGTCGAATGCAACAAGATACGATTGAACCAATTTGAATAGGGCACACAGAGTATATGACACTACTATTAATACCTTCGTGGCACACTTTACTTTGGCTTTTGTTAAAATTACTGAATAATAGGAAGTGATGTGATATCTAGGGAAATACTTAAGTTTTCGAACAGAGTACAGACAAACAGTGTATGTTAGAGTACTGTACGAGAACAGTCATATTCTGTCAAGCTATTCTACGTCTTCTGAAGATCAGCTCTTTGAAAAGTTCACTGTCGAATATTCTGAGTGATTTATTATCAATATCTTGATCATTTCTCAGCGTATGGCTATTCGAATAGGAATAGTAATTTACCCACACATTTGAAATACAATAGATGATGGATAAATGGAAAGGCTTGGTTAGATGAAAGATTTCATATGTCTTCAATGGAATCGGTTTTGACTGGTTCGGGGCAATCAGAACATATTGTGGAAAGAATTCTAATGGGATACTAACAGTAATGGATGGAAGTGAACACATCGACACAATTACACCAAATGACAATAAATTCACATGCAGCAATATTGCAGTTATTCACTATCACATGTCCACCAACGGACATGGATATTCGTCTTACAATATGTCGTGGTATTCCATGATAGATGGATCGATCATCTAATTTCACTGAAGTTGACAACTGAAGGTAGTCAGAATACCTTTGTAGACTAGATGGAGCATATTTCCAAGGAAACTTGGGAGATCAGTATGCCGACTGTAAGTGAGACTAGTTGTCTTTGTAGAAGATAGTGCGATTGACGACACATTACTTCAATGATTAGTTGATTTTGACAGGGGTGGCTGTGTGTGGACAGTCTTTGACTCAGAATTTCATTACTTATTTTCAGGTATCTTGGGGATATGAAAACTATCATTCACGATCCGAAATTATTGGTTTATTTGAGTGTGGAAATAAAGGTAACAAACGCTATATTTTTTAAAAGATGATACTGAATTTCAAGACAAGTATCCAGTGTAAATGAATAGGTTGGATGCTGTGTTTTGTGATTAAATATGATGAAATGTATTATGTATTTGGTCAGGAGGTATATGATGATCGGTTTAAACATATTACTGAGACATATCACAGTATTGCTTAATGTCAACTATTTGTGAAATAGTCTGTGACCGGTGAAACAGAGTTTTCAGAAGGATTTGCATTGACACCCTATTAAAATGAATCAGAAATTGAACAACATCATTTGTCAGGATGTGATGTAAAGCATAGTTTGTGAGAATGTTGTTCGACCGTCACCGTATCTGTCATCACAAGTTAATCAGTTTCTTATTTTGTTCATTCTTTAATCGAGCAAACAACTTGTTATACTAAAAATGGAAATTTTATGTGTCTTTTTTACATTTTGTTACCAAAGTTGAGAAAGCCGTTGCACTACATGTCCATGGAAAATGGGTCAAAAGTGGAACGTTAGTGGAGTTTGAAGTTTCCGGTGGTATGTTTAATCGTTTTTAATGAGAGTTGACTATTTTTACACTTGAGACCATCATTTCTGTTTCATAAATTTGGAAATTTCATGTGTGACTTCAGTCAGTTATTCAATGACATCCAATCATCAATCTCAACTGATGTCACACTACACGTCGATTCGCTGTTGAGTATTTAAAATAATTAAAGACGCATTTTGAACCACTAAAGTTATTGATACATGCAGTATCAAATTTTACCAAGGTATTGAAACCGCAGAAACACGTTGAAATTTTAATCTATCATAGTAGATGTTTTAACAGTATAATTTCATAAGATAATGTTCACATTTATTTCAATGTTCGTCGAATAAAATATAATTTACTATTGATGAGATTTTATGATCCAACTAGTTAGACGTGCTGACTGACAGCAGACAGACAGCTGCAAAGTTTGAAACATTTGATCACAATAGGTTGACTGAAATCTCTTCGCGAAAAAATACAAACATGAATTACAAAGGAATGTCTTTCATCCTTCGTTGTTTCATTGAGTTAAAATAATTGAAAATGGATTTTCTATCTGATGGTAGCTGACTGTCTTGCATCGATTTCAAAATACTCAGTTCATCAAGTAATTCTCCCCTACGGATATGTAGAAGCAGTATGCAAGTCGTATTTTAATTATAAAACTGATTTTATGGAAAGAAACTGAACGACCACCAAACATCAAGTGCAGTGGGCTTTTCTGAATGGAGTGACAGTATAGTGTGTACGATTCTGGATGACAACAGTCATGAAAATCAACTGAACCGTCCTTCAAAACTGATTGTTGATTATTCAACGTAGTTTCTTTCAATTACAACATAATGTCGTGAAATGTGAATGAAATTGAAGTTGTTCTGAATTTTGCACTGCGCAATGTGATGACAAATTATCAATGAATGAAATAGTCACCGAAATCACCATTATATGATTGGGTTATAGTTATGTGTTTTGTTATTTACTTACTGTTTGTTTGATAACTTGAAATGCAATCACTGTTTTCTTTCCATTGAAGATTGTGAAAAACACAATTCCATCGAAACATGTCAAAACTCAACAACATCGAATTCATGTTTTTGGTGTGAGAGGGCGAACAGGTGCATCGTCGACAATAATAAGGATATTCATGACTTCAAAGTTAATGGTTGCCAGATTGGAGTAAGTAATTGGTAGACATTACATGTTGCTTTTACTATTATCACAATCTACATTAGAAATCTATTTACTAGAGAGAGCAAATTATTGCTACAAATAAGCAGTGATTTGTATTGTTCTTTCAGTGCAGAAATCAAAGCATATTCAATCAGACATCAGTACATTGCTTTGCTTCCATGTAGACAGTCATAATTGAATGAAAGCGATGCTTGACACTGATGACTGGAAACATGTTGATTTCTCAGCTCATAGAATGCGTGGTAATTCCCAATGTTCAATATGAAACCATTTATCTGTGTGACTTGTTACAAAATATCCATGTAATTAGTTTGACTGAGGAAGCGTAGTCTGTAAGAATTTATTTGTCTCGTTTGGATGATAAAAAGAATCTCGCAAACACTCATTGATGATGTTCAGAACATATATTTCTGATTCCTTTGTGAGAAATATGTATCCTATATGAATTGTTTCAATGAAGCAGCCATTCAAAAAATACCTTCAGGTGTAGTTGAAAATGAAATTATTGTAGTAGTCTATAAAAGTACATAATAGATGTTTTATAGTTCAGTCATAATGTGAACAGACAATTGAGAACGGAAGAAGTGTATGTGAGGTATTATATTTATGAGTCGTTATCACCGTTTTTTGTGCTATGAAGAATTCAAAAAACGGAAGATGATGAGTATAACTTTTACAATCACTTGTGACAAAAGTATAAACTATGCTAAGTACAAGAGGACGAAATTATTTAAAATCGAGTTTAAAATGCTTAAAATCAAAGTTCCCTTGTAAAGTGGGTTTTTATATTTGGTAATATTGCCAATGATTATTTCTCAGAATAGCTCGAGTGACAACACATTGAGTACACCAACCGGTGTCGAAGAACCTACAACAACTTCAAGTATAAATGAATCTGACTTAAAAGATGAATTGGAGACAACTGACCAAGAACCTGAATCTGATTTGGTAAGTAGTTGACATTAAGTAATATTGTCACTCCTTCGTTCTTCAGAATAGTTCGAGTGACAACACATTGAGTACACCAACCGGTGTCGAAGAACCTACAACAACTTCAAGTATAAATGAATCTGACTTAAAAGATGAATTGGAGACAACTGACCAAGAACCTGAATCTGATTTGGTAATTAGTTGACATTAAGTAATATTGTCACTCCTTCGTTCTTCAGAATAGCTCGAGTGACAACCCATTGAGTACACCAACCGGTGTCGAAGAACCTACAACAACTTCAAGTATAAATGAATCTGACTTAAAAGATGAATTGGAGACAACTGACCAAGAACCTGAATCTGATTTGGTAAGTAGTTGACATTAAGTAATATTGTCACTCCTTCGTTCTTCAGAATAGTTCGAGTGACAACACATTGAGTACACCAACCGGTGTCGAAGAACCTACAACAACTTCAAGTATAAATGAATCTGTCTTAAAAGATGAATTGGAGACAACTGACCAAGAACCTGAATCTGATTTGGTAAGTAGTTGACATTAAGTAATATTGTCACTCCTTCGTTCTTCAGAATAGCTCGAGTGACAACACATTGAGCACACCAACCGGTGTCGAAGAACCTACAACAACTTCAAGTATAAATGAATCTGACTTAAAAGATGAATTGGAGACAACTGACCAAGAACCTGAATCTGATTTGGTAATTAGTTGACATTAAGTAATATTGTCACTCCTTCGTTCTTCAGAATAGCTCGAGTGACATCCCATTGAGTACACCAACCGGTGTCGAAGAACCTACAACAACTTCAAGTATAAATGAATCTGACTTAAAAGATGAATTGGAGACAACTGACCAAGAACCTGAATCTGATTTGGTAAGTAGTTGACATTAAGTAATATTGTCACTCCTTCGTTCTTCAGAATAGTTCGAGTGACAACACATTGAGTACACCAACCGGTGTCGAAGAACCTACAACAACTTCAAGTATAAATGAATCTGTCTTAAAAGATGAATTGGAGACAACTGACCAAGAACCTGAATCTGATTTGGTAATTAGTTGACATTAAGTAATATTGTCACTCCTTCGTTCTTCAGAATAGCTCGAGTGACAACACATTGAGCACACCAACCGGTGTCGAAGAACCTACAACAACTTCAAGTATAAATGAATCTGACTTAAAAGATGAATTGGAGACAACTGACCAAGAACCTGAATCTGATTTGGTAATTAGTTGACATTAAGTAATATTGTCACTCCTTCGTTCTTCAGAATAGCTCGAGTGACAACACATTGAGCACACCAACCGGTGTCGAAGAACCTACAACAACTTCAAGTATAAATGAATCTGACTTAAAAGATGAATTGGAGACAACTGACCAAGAACCTGAATCTGATTTGGTAATTAGTTGACATTAAGTAATATTGTCACTCCTTCGTTCTTCAGAATAGCTCGAGTGACAACACATTGAGCACACCAACCGGTGTCGAAGAACCTACAACAACTTCAAGTATAAATGAATCTGACTTAAAAGATGAATTGGAGACAACTGACCAAGAACCTGAATCTGATTTGGTAATTAGTTGACATTAAGTAATATTGTCACTCCTTCGTTCTTCAGAATAGCTCGAGTGACAACACATTGAGCACACCAACCGGTGTCGAAGAACCTACAACAACTTCAAGTATAAATGAATCTGACTTAAAAGATGAATTGGAGACAACTGACCAAGAACCTGAATCTGATTTGGTAATTAGTTGACATTAAGTAATATTGTCACTCCTTCGTTCTTCAGAATAGCTCGAGTGACAACACATTGAGTACACCAACCGGTGTCGAAGAACCTACAACAACTTCAAGTATAAATGAATCTGTCTTAAAAGATGAATTGGAGACAACTGACCAAGAACCTGAATCTGATTTGGTAATTAGTTGACATTAAGTAATATTGTCACTCCTTCGTTCTTCAGAATAGCTCGAGTGACAACACATTGAGCACACCAACCGGTGTCGAAGAACCTACAACAACTTCAAGTATAAATGAATCTGACTTAAAAGATGAATTGGAGACAACTGACCAAGAACCTGAATCTGATTTGGTAATTAGTTGACATTAAGTAATATTGTCACTCCTTCGTTCTTCAGAATAGTTCGAGTGACAACACATTGAGTACACCAACCGGTGTCGAAGAACCTACAACAACTTCAAGTATAAATGAATCTGTCTTAAAAGATGAATTGGAGACAACTGACCAAGAACCTGAATCTGATTTGGTAATTAGTTGACATTAAGTAATATTGTCACTCCTTCGTTCTTCAGAATAGCTCGAGTGACAACACATTGAGCACACCAACCGGTGTCGAAGAACCTACAACAACTTCAAGTATAAATGAATCTGACTTAAAAGATGAATTGGAGACAACTGACCAAGAACCTGAATCTGATTTGGTAATTAGTTGACATTAAGTAATATTGTCACTCCTTCGTTCTTCAGAATAGCTCGAGTGACAACACATTGAGTACACCAACCGGCGTCGAAGAACCTACAACAACTTCAAGTATAAATGAATCTGACTTAAAAGATGAATTGGAGACAACTGACCAAGAACCTGAATCTGATTTGGTAAGTAGTTGACATTAAGTAATATTGTTACTCCTTCGTTCTTCAGAATAGCTCGAGTGACATCCCATTGAGTACACCAACCGGTGTCGAAGAACCTACAACAACTTCAAGTATAAATGAATCTGACTTAAAAGATGAATTGGAGACAACTGACCAAGAACCTGAATCTGATTTGGTAATTAGTTGATATTAAGTAATATTGTCACTCCTTCGTTCTTCAGAATAGCTCGAGTGACAACCCATTGAGTACGCCAACCCTTGTCGAACAAGCCACACGAAATCCATGTATAAATGAATCTGACTTAAGCGGTAATTTGTAATTTCTTAAGTGCATAAGTCAAAGCATTGTATACGTTCTGATTTTTAAATCAGACATCAGTACATTGCTTCGCTTCCATGTGAACATTTAACAAGGAATGAAAGCCTTGTTTTATACTTATGCCAGGAATTGTGTTAATTTTTTAGCTCACAGAATGTGTAGTGATTCTCGATGTCCGATATGAAACCCATTATCTGCGTGACTTGTTATAAAATGTTAATGAAATCAGTTTGACTTAGGAGTTGTAATCTGTCGGAAATTATTTGTCGTGTTTGGATAATAATTGAAAGGTCGTAGAATCTCCATGTTGATATTCAGAAGAAGTATTTCTGATTTCTTATTAGGAAACATTTATCCTGTATGGATTGCTTCCATGAAGCCGTCATTCGTGAGATATGTCCAGATGTAGTTTATAATGGAAATATTGTGGTAGTCTATGAATGGAGATAATAGATATTTTATTGTTCAGATATCATGATAACAGACCATTAGGAACGAGAGACAAGTATGTGAAGTAGTATATTTTTATGAGCGTTTAATAGAGTGTGTTGTGATTTGACGAATTCAAAAACAAAAGCATCTTGTACAATCACTTGTGGTAAATGTACAAAGCATGAGAATTAACAAAAGAATATAAAACATTATCTAAATCTATTTGCAAAATGAGTTTGTCGTGCGTATCTCTACAGTTATCGTAGATAATGTGTACTTATCACATTGACTTTTAAATGCGTAGCAGATATTCTAAATCATTATTCATTGATGATACTGTGCAAATGTAATTTATGTAACTATTTGTTGAATTCACTTCTGTTATCAATACTGACAATGGTGTATAATGGATGAAAAATTATTTGATTGACATTTGAAAATTAGTAATATTGCCACTGTTTCACTCTTTCAGAACATGACAACAGAAGTGACTGGAGACAATGAGCCTGGGAAATAAAGTCCTTCCTTACACATCGTCATACGTTGACTTATCTCTTTCTAGGTTGTGTGCAGTGGCTGTGCCATATGCCTATGGTTGTGCAGTAAAAAGACATGTATGCTATGGCTCTCACAAAAGACTTATCGCTTGTTTTCATAATGCTTAATTTTCTGTCTTCATTTTGTAGTTTATTGAAAACACTTTATATTTAGTTAATCATTTCAATAAATTGGAAATTTTTTCGTTGAACTAGTAACAATTTTTATGGTTATTCACGTTGTAATTGACGAATTTATTTGGTGAGACATAAAACACGGATTCTTATGTCTCTGTGATGATTTTTACTCAATAAAAACGTATATTACTTATACAAGTGTTTACAACACTGCAGAATGTTAGTATGTTGGGCTTCCGTTCAATTTACTGATGATGATACCATACTCCGTTATTAAATCCTTATGATGTGGAAGCTTCTGATGACCATACCAAGTTAATAAATCCTAATAAGATTGGGGCTTCTGAGGATCACATTTCATTTTTATCCACGATTTAGAAAAGTACTTTCCACATGTAAGAGCGATTACATACCTCTTTTGGTTCGTCCCACAAATTGATTGTTGATACAGGAAGTAAACCGTCAAATACCTTATTCACAGCATTGTCTTTGGAAAGACACCTTTCTTTTCTGATTTTGCTTCATCGTGCGAACTCTCTACTTCGATACTTGCGATACGTACTATGGACTATCAATAAAGATTAAAATGCGGATCTGAAACGAATATTCCCGGTGTATTTTGCTAAGCTTGATGGATTGTCTACTACTCCCGATGGTATTTTTTGCCTAAATGACAATGCAGGTAGTCCAGTATTATTTCGTATATCTGATCGTCATAGTGCAGATTTTGGTGTTGAGGAAATGCAAGCTTTGACACAGATTGCATATTGGTGATCTGAGATACATTATTATATCTCGCACAACGAACAGTCGTGAATAGTCATAGGTCGAAAAACCATCTTTCGAAATGGACTCAATGACAAGTATCATCTGAGGTCTAACAATGAATTCACCCTGAATAACGTTTGTTTCTCAGCAATTCTCCTTCAGGGGTGTGTGATATTTTTCCACAAGTGATGTTTTTTTCGTGCATTATTATTATTTTGCATGTTTTGAATCCCAAATACAATACGTTTAATTGTTCTCGATATTTTCTCCTGACTTCGTTCTGATATATGCAGTACTACAAGAATGCATCACAAGCTATTTGGGTGTTACACGTCGGCATTTTGCAATTGCGTATTAAATATTGAACAGTTCTCATTATTCACTAATGTTCTCTGACTGTCAAATGCTCTCCAAATATTGTTATTCTATGATGAAGTTAGTGTTGTCTCAACCAAATGAATATCCTGGTCATGTTCAAGTCATTACAGCTTAGAAATGAATGTACCTGCCCAATGTGGAGTAAAGATTTAAGAATACGAGGAATGACACTTTTCAAAAACCTATTGTAATACCGTGTGTCTGCAATCATAACCTTAACTAATAGGCAATCTGCAAGTGATTGCAACATTCCTCCTCACCATATCGATTATTTGTGAACTTATTACAAACAGCGGATAATTATCCTAATTCTGCGTCGAATTGATATGTACACTTCAATTTTGCTCATCCAACTATGGAGTTTTTTAATCCATGGAAGTCCCTGGTTCATCCTTTCCAACTCTTCGTCCACACTAATGCTCAAAACAATGCGACACCTAAACAAAACCATAGACTTGTATAAACTACATTAAACAGAATCGGTACGGGCGTCATTAGCTGGTGTACACAATTCTATTGAATTCTTAAACTTACTAAATATCGTTGCACACTTAATTATAAATAGAGTTTCGCCACCACGAACCACAGTCTTGTCAGAGAGACCATTCTTCGCACTTTTCACTAACTCAAGGTGTTTTTCCTCAGTTTCGAATTAAAATTTTTATATATTCCAGCTTACATTCTCCATTTCGGTGACAGAAAAGATGAACAAGGAGTTCATTGTAAAATATACTGCCTAGAGTACTTCACAGATATTAAATTAGCGACAGTGTTCTCAACAGCTTATTTGAATCGATCTGAGTGGGAGTTAACAACATCATCAACATTTCACTTTTCAACTGTATGTGCACTGTCACAGATGTTTCAGCTACTGTGAACGATCGGATTATTCTTGCGTTTATACACTGTTCTGTTACACGTTTTGTGTGAGATTTCAAATACCACAGTGCAATTAGGAATACTGATGAAGGTTAGTCACATGATGAATAATTTCTAGCACTACTGAGCACATATTTCTGTTCACAGCGAATTCCCACTGGAACAAAAAAATTTAGTACATTGACGTAGTATCCTACGAAGATATTATTCCACTTTCTATACACGCACACAAAGAGTTTGAAAGCAGTGACCACAGTTAGGTTGTTGGATCACTTTCCATTTACCTTTCCCATAGAATCCCAATGCAAAAACCAAGTCAATGCAAGAAGTGCAATCATGAAACTTAGGTTCCACTGATGGACTTGAAACAGTAACAAAGGTAAGATTCCAGGATAAAGTCACGGAATTTCCAAACATGACCAAACTGAACCCACAGCCTTTCAAAAGTAAACTGAATGTAGGTTATGCGATCTGAACCGAATGCATGCTAGTAATGCATAATATTAATAATAATATATTTCTGCAATAGCAGGTACACGGCATTTTTACAGGCATGATCTACAATTTACAACATATACTGGTTCACAGTATGCATCCCAAGCAAGCTTGTTTAGTAATTATAATCTGTAAAAGTTGATAGCAGTTCATTCGTTCAGATATAATGTGTTTTCATAAGAATAGTTTCCAAAGGGGCATAGCGTCCACGTTATATACCAGATCCAATCTCGACAAAAAGTGTAATAGGGTTTCAGTCGTGTTAAGTATTTATGTAATGCAGCTTTTTAAGTTTATAGTTGTTATAAAGTAGGCTTGTGGAGCGCCTGGTTCGAGCTGTGACCTTGGGAAAGAGCGTTTGTCAAGCTTGTTCCAGATATCAGAAGTTACATAGCTTCACCCTCAGAGCAAGATTCTGAAGAGAAAAATATAAAAGAGAAACCGAGGAGCGCCAAGGCATTTGGATATGAGCGATAATCAATGCTTAACATTTATTAGTGGAACAGATGGAGGTATGATAAATTATTAGATTAAATTGATACTAGCTCATGTTGCAAGAGTGAACTGCGATTAGGGGCACCAGAGGAGAGAATCCAGTAATAAAGAACAATGAGTTGTGATATTTTTCAAGGTGGAGTAGGTTCCAATGAAGGAGGGAAGTCAAGGTTGGAATGAGGAAGAACAGAGAGTGTATATAGAGAGTAGAGTGTTGAGTAAAATAGCAACCATATCCTTTACAGTCAGTTTTTTTTTTAATCATCCGATGCCTGCCACACAGTATTCATGTAAAAGTCCGAGTTAGCAAGTTAAAGGTTGTCTTAGTAGAATAGTTAATCCAGCACAAAAATTGGATACATGAGCCTTATTGGTGAGTGTAGGTGAACAATCTCAATATCACAGATCTATTGACCTGTTCTCATCCATAAAGAGCCTGATACAAACAAAATGTTCCGCCCCACAAACACGGGTGGATTGAAATCATCGCCCTCACCTCGGTGCTTGCTGGTCAGTAACTCCACCCTCCCTCCTTTTGTGATGGTAGGCTCATTTACGCTTATTTTTTTGATACATATCATACCTCACACAATGCTCTGTGTTTCACATCCTGTTGGAAAACACTATTTTTATTGACTATATAGTAAAGTGTAGGTTACGAATCAGAGTATAGGCATTAGGCAGGGTATAATGTAGGATATTTGTTTACAATAGTAGGCGGAAAAGTGGAGATTAATATTAGTTACAGATAAGGTAAGATAACGAGTGGTGAAATAATATTAATGGCAAGGCAACATAGTGTACAGATGACTAAAAAGCTGATAAATAGACAAGAAGTAACTCACACTAAATTCGCGCTGATGTTGTTTTGTTCTATTTTAACCGGTTGATGGTTGACAGGTTCTGTGGTTGTACGACCACTGGCAGTACGCAGTCGATTGTGCGTTTCATCCGATGTTTTAGGGTATTTGTAAGCGTCGTTTAGCGACCGAGTATTGATAGATCCAGTGAGTTGCCTGTCTACTTCAATTGAAAAGAATTAGTGAGGGGAAAGTATCTAATACAAATACAAGGTAGGGAAATAAGGCGATTCAGTCTATATATGTAGAGAGCCTATGATGTCTGTGTGGGAAGTGGATGTGTTCGTTTGCACCAGGGCTATGCAGATGAGGGCTTGATCAATGAGTTTTGTAAACGTATGTAAATTGTCTGCCATTAGTACTTCAGAAGGCAGACTGTTCCATATCAATGCGTACTTGATAAGGAAGACGTTTTCACGTGTTTTTGATCTGTGTTTTTCAATTTTGACAGTGGATACTTTGTCTCGAAGGTTGTATCCATGTGAGTCTTGGTAGAGAGCTATATTACATGTGGAATAAGTAAGGTTTTTAAGGAGTTTGAAATAATGAATTAAGTTAGACATAAGCATTCTTTTCCAGAGGGGTTCTAGTCCTAAGATATGGCATCTGGATTTGTAGTCAGTGAGTTGGTTATTCTTAAGTATTTTGCGAGTGAAGTCTCGCTGTATTCCTTCCACCTTAAGTATATCAGATAGGCGTAGGTTGAAAAATAAGAACGAGCAGTATTCGACGATGGGTCTTACGCAGGTTTTATACAGGATGATTTTAGTTTCCTTTTGAAAGAAATTACGAAGGATGAAGCCAAGCCAATACATAGCCATCCGCATTTCTCTGTGTTGAGCTCTAGCCCCCAGTGTTTGCACCAGTCGTCTACTTTGTTGAGTTCATGTTGGATCGTTTGCATAGTACTTCGTACATCACCAATGTCAGTTTTATAGATGACTTTTAAATCATCAGCGTAAAGGTAGGTCTTACCTGTGGTAAAGCACTTGCATATATTGTTGATATAAATTATAAAGAGCAATGGACCCAAGACACTACCCTGCACAACACCACTGATTCTTGGTCGAGGTGTAGATGTTGTAGAGTTAAGCTTGATTATTTGGTATCTGTTTGTGAGGAAAGACTCAATCCATTGCAATAGGGGGTTTATAATTCCAACTGACTGGAGCCTGTTGATTAGAAGATTATGGGGTACTTTGTCAAAGGCTTTCTCTATATCGAAATAAAGTATAATCACTAGCTTTTTCTGGTCACGTATGCGAGTAATCTCGTTAAAGAAGTCTATCAGACATGTACTACATGATCTTGTTCTAATGAAACCATGTTGTGTTGGGTCTATTAGTTCTTCTTTAAGTAGGTGATCTGATAGTTGACTTTGTATCACTTTTTCCATTATGCGCGAAATAACTGGGGTGATATTTATAGGTCTGTAATTTCCGACAGGTTTCTCGGTCCTGATTTGTGTTTGGGAAGAACATACGTTACCTTCCAGGCTTCAGGATATGTACCCGTCTCTAATGATAATGTGTATATTTTGAGCAATAACGTATGTATATCCGGCATCGACATTTTATAGAGAATTGATTGTGTATCATCAACACCAGAGTTCGCATTCGGCTTAAGGGTTTTGATGGCGGTATGTATACTCCTAATGTCAAAGTTTATGGTGCTAATATAGCTTTTGCTTATGCATTTTACGTTAAAATTTGGTGCATTAGATGTATTCCCGTTTTGTGAAAACCATTCACTTAGCAGTTCGCATATGACGGTTTGGTCATAGTACGTCACGCCATCGTGCAGTAAAGAGTGAATATTGTGATCTTCGTTCTTTCTCATCCGTTTTGCAAAGAGCCGACATAAGTTTTGGACTTTAGATGCAGTTGTGAGCGCAGTACGTTCTTCTGTCTGTTTGTTTTTGTTGTGATGACTTTGCACTCCTTCAAGTACAGAGTATACCTGGTGCAGGGCACTAAATTCTTTTTATGTAAAGTACGTTTTTCTTAGTTTTCGTAGCTTAGACTTAGCCTTTTGGTTGATGTAGGGAGCAATTGTTTGAAAGCAATTTTAGAAGAGATGGTAGTGTCTAGTGCAGATTTGGTGGTAGTATTGAATATTTCCAGTGTATCTAAAAGGTTATCACTGGTGAAGAAAGTGTTCCAGTCGGAATGCTTCATACGAAACCGAAAGTTACTCCAGTCGGCATTTGCGTAGTCTCTGTATTGGAAACACGTATTGAATGTCTTTAATTTTTTGCGCTTGGCAAGAATCAGAAGGGTGCAGAAGACTATTTTGTGATCGCTGTTATGGAATTTCTCTCCAAACACCACTGATGTTGGTGTGACTTTGTAACAGAATATCAAGTCAAGAATGTTGTGATTCCGGGTAGGCAGGTTAACATGTTGCTGCCAACCGTGTATGTCTAAGGGCCTTAATATTCCTTCGTAGCACGGTGGGCCAGATTGTGTCTTCCAGTTGATGGTTGGAAGTTTGAAATCAACACAGACAATTTTGTAGGCGAAGTCAAGCAAGGCAGCCCTAGCAAATGATTCACTTATAATGATGTCAGTCAGACTAGGGGTATTCGGAGCTCGTTATATGTGTCTGTGATATCGGAGGACAACCAACTTTCCGTTATCAAAACAAGTGAGGGGTTGTGTAAAAGTAATAGGGCGCGTAGTTGAGTCATCTTATTCTGAATAGATCGGGCATTGATTAACATTAGTGTCAGGAAGGATGAGTGTTTGTCTAATAAAATGGTGTGCTGTAAACCCTGTGCTTTGTCGCTTTTACTATGCGAAGAGGAAAAAGTGGGAGTATTGGCTCTACGTTCTTGTTTGTTTAGTTTAGTACCAGCGTAGTTAACGGGAGAAAAGTGGTCGGAGGTTAGTTTGGCGAAAGAAGTATGTTCACGAGTGTTGGGTAGAATCAGATGTGATAAATGGATGGGCGGTGTATTCGGGGCGTGATCATATTCCGTCAAGGAGCTTTTAAGACTAGAGACAATTATCGACGGTGAGAAAGATGTGTCACTCCCCATCAGGTCGGAGTATATAGAAGG